ATGCTCCTGTGGCTTTGTTGAGCTCCCAAGTGATCCATTCTTGAGTGACTTGTGACTTTGGTCCCTTTAGTGCTTGTCACTAGTGTTTTCAATCCTTTTTTATTAAGATCTTTGATGAGGAGTATGATTTAATGATATTGTTTCTGCAATGTGAGCTTATTATTCTAATGTTTTCAAACAAATGTGTTCAATAGAGATGAAAACAAACTAGTTTTCAATAAACACAAGTTTATTTTTTTCCTATGTAAGACAAAGCTAATGGTCTCAAAGTATTTGAATCTCCTTAAATGTTTTTCTACCTTTGCATAAGGCAAAACAAGTCATGATCAGAGGGTGCTGTGTATGTGACCAGCGTTTCTTAGTAGCAAATTAGTAGACATTTTGTCTCTTGAAATGTCCAGTTTTATTAGATTAAAGTATTCTAGCTACAATGGGCCTCATGGACTTTAAAAGGGAACTTGTTGATCTGAGAAATCATTAGAGATTCCTATGTAAGCCTGTTTTATTTAGTTTGTCATATGCTTATTTTAAAAATACTTTTTCTGATAGATAAAATGTCTTCCCTTTTTATCTCCGTTCTAGCTTTAGTGTAGTCTATGGCAGCAGAGTAGTAAGGAAATTCATGGAAGCTCAAAGCCATGGACCAGAGCCTGCTCTGAACTGCTTCCTCTGTAACAGCAGAGAGAAATGGCCAGGATTTGGGAGCACTTTACTTTTTGTAAGTGTAATGTAAGTTAATATAAATCCAGTTTTGGACACATTGAGTGTTGAATCTTACTGCATGTTTCAGGCTCCAAATTAATCATTTGTTTAAATAGCAGGGCATTTTAGGAGAACACTTGAGTTTTACGTTTTATTTAGGTCTCTCCTATTTAGTTCACTCGAACTAGATGTGTCTGACACAGAGTGCTTGATGAAGGGTGCATGAGTGAGTGTGTATCTTTCTTCCTATTATCTGTTAAACATTAGAGAGGGGGCAACGTAGTGGCCAAGAGCTAAGGCTAGAGTCTAGCAAGGCTAGATCTGAAACCCAGCTCTCCACTAACCTCTGGTGCCAGTGCCCCATCTATAAAACGTGGGTAATAATAGTACCTACCTCACACTCACAGGGCTAGAGCACTTGGCTGGGGCTTGGCACATAACAAGTTCTGAACTAGTAGCCATGGTCCTGCCAACTTATTTTTCTGCGTAAGTGCCTATGTATCTACACTAAATGTTGACGGGAAAATGTTCTGTTAGGTAGACATCAGGCTGCTACCAGCCACTCTTCTGCTTAAGCCAACTGCAGCCCCCTGTGTAGGGAAAGCGAAACAAGTTAAAATACTCTGAAGCTTTGCATTTGGAAACTGGAAAGCAGATGCGCAGAGCAGCAACCGCCTCTGTTTGAATGCACATTGTAATCCGTTTTCCAATGCTGCCTTTATAAGGATGAGTTAAGCAGTCCATTGACATATCATTATCACATTCTGAAGTTAAATGGCCACAGGATCTATGAACTCTCATCATGCAGTTAATTATTCTTGGATTTTTCTGTGCTCTTGAAACATATTTTATTTATTTAACCATCCCCTGGGAGCACTGGCTGCCTTTGTCCCCATGACACAGCCAGTGGTGTAAAACCTCTGCATCTGTCAGATTTCCCCATGTGCAGCATAATTGCCTGATTTCCATTTGAAAGTACAGCTCTGACATTACAACTACATAGACCCACCAATGATAACAATGACGTGCTGACACCTACAAGGGGACGGGGGTGCGGGGGGCATAATGCCAAATGCACCCTCGCCTTCAGATGGACCAGGCCTGAATTTACAGCTGCAGCAAAGTGGTCCTTGGGAACACCACCACCAACAAAAAAGAATAAAGAAAAAGAAACCAACAGATTAGCATCTGCGTGAGTCTGGTGGAGCCAGATGGCTCTCTGTGGAAATGGAGCTGTCCTGCTTTCCTCCAGTAACCCCGACCAGCAGACAGCAAGCCTGCTACGAAAGGAGAGAAATGATCTCATTCCTCAGCCAGGCACGTGACTTGCCTTCTTTCTCTCACACACAGCTCAAGCTGAAGGAAAGTTGGAAAAGAAGAAAGAGTGAAAAAGAAGGGGCGGGGGAGGTGGGTTGTTACAAAGAATGAGCCAGTCATAGCCCAGAGCAGGAGTGAGATGCCAGCCCCTGGCCAGGCCTGAGCACTGGAAACCGGACTCGGATGTCCACAAAGGGAGGAGGAAGGGGAGGCAGAGGGGCCCCTGACATATCCTCAGCCCCTCTGCTCATATCCATGAACTCTACCTCCAGAGGCTCGGTGTGTGAGAGGCCGGGAGGTGGGGCAACACCAGCTGTAGGCGCCATGGGATTAAGTTCTGGACTCCCTTGGGGAAGGATGGTGGACAGTGTTTTCAAGTTCTTACTAATGAAAATCTCCATCTCTCTTCATGGCTGGAGGCCTGTGAGTTTGTAACAGTCTGGCCTGCTGGACCAGGTCAGAAGCCAGACCAGCCATCTGCTTGGGTCAGAGTCTGTTACGCCCCTGGACTGTGGCCCGGGGTGGAGGGAGCTGAGGGGGCTGGAGCCAGACAGGTTTTTGGTGTGGGACGATGCCTCTCCTAGAAGGTCCTAAGGCTGGAATGGGGCTCAGCCTGGAGCCATTCTGCCTTCCCTGCTGAGTAAGGCATTCACTTCTCATAAATAAATCTGTTATCTGGACGTCCAGCTGATGGATGCCAAGCAGACAGCAGAGGTGGGTGTTAGAGCATAGCACTTGCAGAGGCTACAGACGGCCTATGAGCTACTCTGCCCACTTAGTGGGTGTTCACACACCCCAGCTGGCACAGGGGCTCTGGAGGGCTCCAACCCAGAGAGGTGCATCTAAGAGAGAACTCTCCCCTGGGAGATTCAGGGGCTCACAGGGCATGTCAGCAGCCTGGCTGGATTTCCTGGGCACCTGAAGTTTGTCTTTACCAGTGTTTGCTCCAGAATAAATAGTTGGCTCCAGGGGATACCAAATGCAGGATGTAGTCATTTGTTTATAGTGGGAAATGATTATTTCAATCATAATAAACATTGAACAAAATCCTCTCCATTTTCAACCAGGGCTAGGGCACCTGCTTCACAAGTTCTGGCAATCTTAGGTATAGCTGCCAGATGGGAGCCGAGGCCCTAAGTTCCTGCTCTTCTCCTTCCAAAAACAAAATAAAAAGCTGCCACTCCACCAAACAACTGCTTTGCTCTTCATCTCTTGGGCAATGCTACCGCTTAACAGAGTTCATAGTCTTGAGGTGGGTTCTTGCTCACAACTAAGCTGAAGGATTTTGAAGGAAAGTATACAGGGAAAGAACAAGAATCGTGAATGGGGTCATCTTTTCTTGTCCCTACTTTAGCAGGGAGACCACTTAATAGAAGCATTTAGAAAAACAAAAATTACTGGCTAAGTGTGGGTATCTCTTCTAAGTTCTGTGTGTATTTCATGTAATCCTCATGACACCCCTATAAGGTGGGTCCACTGATCATTCCCCATGTTACAAAGGGGACACTGAGGCACAGAGATGTTAAGCATTTTTTCCAAACTCACGTATCTGGTAAATGGTAAAGCCAGGATTCAAACCTGGTTCCACCTGGCTTCAGGTTCAGGGTCCATATCTCCAGGCAATCCTGCCTTTTTTGATGCTGCAATAGCATAAACAGCACATGTCCTGCTTAAACTACTTACCAGTACCAGTGGCATGATCTCAGGCCACTGAATCTCTCTGAGTTTCTGTTTCCTCATCTGTCAAGTATCTGGAAGAGCTGTTTTATTAAACCAAGTTGTTGCCAGGAACAAAAATAATGTGTAACATGCTAGTGCCTAGCATGTGGCTGATGGTCAATAAATGTTAGTAGTTACTATTATTGCATCACATTAATCTTTGGGCTTTTGTATTTTAATGAATCCTCACAAAAAAACAAAAAAACAAAACAGAAAAAACAAAACAAAAAAACCACACCTGTGAAGTACATAGGGCAGCTGCTACTAACCCATTTTATAGCTGGTGAAACTGAGATACCAAACCATCGGGCAGTGCAGTCTGAACAAGAACCACACCTCTTGACTCTGCACTTTGCGCTCAGCCTAATCCTGGTTGCTGTAGACCTGCAGACCTGCCTATTTCCAGAAGAGTGGTCTATGGAATATGCATCTGTACTTAGTGTCAGTGAAAAAATAAGTATTATTTTTGTTTTTACCTAAAGAAAATCTTAGGGGCACACAAAATTTTGTGATTCATGCTTGCTAGGACCTTACTTGTCCCCAGAGGCATTAACTTTCAGCACTACCTAGGAGGGATTGGACAGGACCTGACTCTGTCCCCAGCCAATCCTAGAGGCAGGAGGTGAAGGAAAGGTGACAGAGCTGAATTCCTTGTTTCATCCTTCTAGTTCCGCACGCCTCAAGAACATTTCCAACCCTCTCCATTGCAGGGGTTTCCACACCTGCAGCGGGAAGCAGTGCAGAGCTTTCTGTGCCATGAAGGCAGCCTGCCAAGGGCCCTGGGAGTCTGGCTGCACTCTGCCTTGATTCCCTGTCTCTCCTAACTCTGCCCTTCCTGTGATTTTCACATTTTCCCTTCCATTTTACTTTCAGCAAATCTCTGGGGAATGTAGTTTTTGTTCTATTGCTTCATGTAATTTCCAAGGCTGAGAATGAAAATTATTTCCTTTCACAAGCCCTGGCTGAGTGTCTTTCACATCCCGTCTGTGTTATGGGGTGATTTATAAACTGTGGGTCTGGGTCTTCCCTCCCCTCCCCATAATCCCATCATCATTTAAAACAAGACACTGCATATGAGCTCCAAGCCCCGAGGTCAGGGCATCTTCTGAAGGTGGCCACTGGGGCTTTTGCTCAGAGGCAGAGATTCAGTGGAGCCACAGTGATGGGAACATGAAAGGCATTCACTCCTGTTCGAAGAATACAGAAGGGGCCCCACAGCCAAACTTGTGATCTATGAGAATCGAGACCCAAAGTCTCAAAGTATAGGGACTGGCTTTGAACTGAGACTGTAAAAGCACATTTTCCAAACTTGTCAGGATTGTGTTTCATTTGTAGACTTTTATTCTCAAAGGGACAGTGAGGAAGAGATGCAGCTGAAGAAGTTTTGAGCTGAAAAATGAAGTTACTTTACTTTGTTACCATAAAACTGAGATAAGGGAAAAATTAAGTCAAGGGGTTCCCTTTCTCTCTGTTACAATAGAGCACAGAAGCCAGAGGGCAAAGTGTCACTAACAAAGGGATGTGTCTCTGTCTGATCTGAAGACCGTTCTCTGCCAGCTGCCTCTGCAGAGTCCTGTCCAGACCCTGGAGTCCCTTCAGGCTTCAATTCTTCAGAATCTGAAACAAGATAGAAGGGTGAGCGAATGAGTCAAGCCTCAGACTGGCCTCTGTAGTAAGGGTTTTCTGTCTGAGCCATGCCCCAGAAAACACAGTGTGAGCACTATGGGCTTTCTTCCC